TAATTATTTAAAGTATTTATTTATACATTTTAAATTTAAAATAATTTCTGTAAATTAAAAAGTCTGAAAAAGTATTTCAGCTTTGTCATTACAGCAGAATTAAGTCATGCAAATTTAGTTAAAAATATAATAAATAATTATTTTAATTAAAAATTTTAAAATATTATGTTTTAAATATCGCCTCTAATTTCTGTAAATTAAAAAGTATGTCAGCTTTCCATTATAGCAGAAGTATCTTGGGGGGCCTTCAAATATTGCCTTTGACAGTGAGGGGCCTCAGAGACAAAAAGGATGAGAACCACTGATGCAGGGCTTTCTGAATGCATTCTTCAACACAATGCTCATAAATTCTCATAATTTCATGTTAATTTAATAATTCAAGCACTTTTTCTTATAGGGTTTCATTAGTTGAACTGTCAAAACAAAGGACTGTTTACATTAATGACTCAAAAACAGAAAAAAAAAAAAAAAAAAGCAACACAAAATGTGGGTATTACCAAAGCAGTCATCTAGAGTGATCTTTGCCAAGCACAGTCAGGCCTTATCTGTGGTGCATGGGGAATGAAGGAATGAAGCCAGAAATAGCCCAAGCCCTTTAACCATGAATTGAGGCTTGTATAATTTATTCCAGCTGTAATCAGAGCACGGATTGCTGTCAGTGCAATCAGCTCATAATTAGGAGAATTCTCTGTTGTTCTGCTGTTTTCTGGGAGGCCCCGTGGTGCTGAGTGTCTGTCTGTGGGCTGATGTGTAGCAAACAGCCAATTTACTGAACCATTAAGATATCGGCACCTTTTGGTTTTCCCTCGTAACCTGTTGCCATGACTGTTTCTCATCTCATATTATCTCTCTTTCTCTTCCTCTGTTCTATGTTCCCTCTATTTTTTTCTCTCTCTCTCTCCTTCTGTGCTTCCCTCCCCGCTATTCCTGTGGTGAACAGGTGCAAAAATTATCTCTCATTCACAAAGGGCGAAAATACTTTGCGTATGGTGTCTTTGTCACATGTCAGAAAGGGGGCCAAAGCAGGGGCCATGCATTTGCAGTTGTCAATAGAAGAGAAAGGAGGAACTGCCAGATTGGACAACCTGTCACTTTTCTCCTTTCTCTGCTTTCTGATTTTCCAACCTAAATATATATTGTGGTATTATAGGGCTAGGGGGTTTACAAAATGAATAAACTTATCCCACAATATCTGTGCGAACATGAGTGATGCCAAATCATGTGACTTGTGGATGAGGGGTGCTTTATGACTTTTAAAAAATCAGATGTATGATTTTAACTGACTGAATGATAAAACAGAAAAAAATCCCATAGATTGAAATCAGATAAAAAACTCAAGCCATTTCTAAGCACCAGAATATTATAGAGACTTGGGAGGTTGGCTCTTCTGATTTCAAGTCCTCATGGGAAGTTCATATTTATGAGTTAAGAAATTAAATTTTTATGTAATCAAGTGCGTTCAGATCACTTTGGTTGGAGTAAAATGGTGAGGTATATTAGGCTACTGTATACTACTAGGCTACGTTTTTTACACTGCACACATATGCAAAAACATTGGATCCTTAAAATAGTGACTTGTGAGTGTACAACTGCACTAATTAATAAGGCCAAACCTGGTACCATTGATTTTTTTTATTTATATTTATTTTGATTCTTTGATTCTTTTTTATTTTTTTTAATGTAATTTCTTTTTTATTTATTATTAGTATTATTATTTTCTTCCTTGTCAGATTGTTAAATAATTGGTAATATCTCTGTTATTCCTCCTTCCTTGATTTTTTTTTGTTCTAATAATGTTATTTTGTTTATATGTGAAAGACAATAAAAAGTTGATCACAAAAAAAGAAATACAGTAAGATTTCTACAAAATGATGAATAAAGAATGCACATTATGTGTGTTTTGCTAATTATATTAATGATATTAGTATATATTCTACCATATTGTAAAAAAGGTATGATTAATTATGCAGTACTGTTGTATTTTGTGCATCTAGTTTTATTGTAAATAAAAAACTAATTTTATGAATTTCAATGAATTTACCGTCATTATAGATGCTGCATCCATTGTGTCTGTCATGTTTTCTCACCAACTTGGAAACTCAGGGCTCAAAGAAAATCTTGAGGCTTGCATTTGATTTTGTGATTGCATTCATGTGCATTCAACTCGTATATATGATATTTCTGACATGACTTGAATCCACTATAAGCAAACCACCTAGCAACCACATACAAATATGATAAATACCACTCAGAACACCTTAACAACCATGTAGCAACACCATGGCAACCACCCAATAACAATTTTCTTCTAAATATGTAAGATTCTAGTATGATATGAGTTGCATTATAGAACACTGATGTCATGGTCAAAATGTAGCTTGGTAGACATTGGGAGAAAATGAATTTGAAAGGGACGAAAAAAATTCAAATTCAGAGCTGATCATCTCAGGTTTGAAGGTCATTTCAGAGGTAGACTTATATTATATAAGATTTAGGTTCAGAAGAGGGGGACAAAAAAAAAGAAAAAGAAAACCACATCTTCCGATGTGACCGGGTGGTCTAAACAGTCTTGTATCACATGTCTACAGTAGAACTAAAAGGGTCATTCTCTGTCTCACTTAATTTAATGCTCAGGAGGGGACTGTACCACTCTGACATCAGTGCCCCACTGTGACATTTCTTGCTCTGCATTTAATGACAGGGCATGGAGGAAGAGCGAGAGGGACAGAAAGAACGACAGACAGAAAGACATTGTGGTACAAACAGTCCAAATCAATCCCCCTGGCCCCTGCCTGCACTAAAGCTTTGTTCTCTTGACAGGGACAGACAGTAGAAAAAAACTTGTGTTGTATTCACTGTGAAACAATTTTCACTTAAATTGCTTGTAAATTTCACAAATAATGACAAAGAAATGGCAAGTGACACATCGAATTAAAGACTGAAATAGCATTTTCTTGTAAAATGTACTCCGATACCTAATCTTTTTATTTACAACTTTGAAAAATAATTTTTACAGTGCTGGAAATAAAGTATTTTTTATTATTTAAAAAATGTAAACAAAACTTGAATGAAATTAAGAGATAGTTGTAAAATGGACAAGAAATATTTAAGATTTCTAAGTCACTAATCAAATCAAAATTGTGACAATAATCATGTGCTGCAAAAATTGATTTTTCGAAGTTGAAAAAAAAGAAAATGAAAGATTATTGTTTTACGAAAATACAATTTCAGTATTTCTGCTTCAAAATTTCACATATATTTTAATGTGTTACTTGTCATTTTTTTGTAATTGTTTATGAAATTTACTAACAATTTCCTGGAGAAAATAATTTCTACACTTTTTTTTTCCAGTGTGTACACTTCTTTTCTTCCATTGAAGCACAAGACACTCTTTGGTGTATTCCCAGCATACATAATGTAAAAAACAAACAAACATATATTTAAAGTTCAAATTCATAATTTCTTTTACTTTTCATTCAAATGATATTAAACTAGAAAATTATATTATTTATTTATAGTATAATTATAAATATAATTTAATTTTATATATTTTTTTAATTTAAAGGATAATTGTAACATATTATTGTTAAATTATTATTTATTTAAATTTATTTATTTAAATATTAAATATCGCACAATAGAAGCATTATTACTAGTGTAAGACCCCTCTGTATAATATTGGATTTAAGCGGCTTTACCTCAATACCCATTTGCAAGGTGCCTACAATTCAGAGACTCCACTGCATTCATGTTTTTAAGAGATTGACCAAAACTCCTCATTGTGAATTGGCCATTCAACACACACACAGGGCATTTAACTCTGTAGTGCCGCTTACTGTGAAGCTCAAAACAATGGATCCTAGGGCACTGCACCTCTCTCACAGGTTGAATGCACAGGAGACCTTATTACTTTAAGTCTCTTTACACGCTGTTTTGGCTATAGTGTGGATTGCTATAGTCACTGCAGCGTTCAGCTGCCCAATTATGTCAATAGCTGGGATTTGAAATAGAATATGATAATGCCCTGGAAAGTTGCTAACTCCCCTGTTTTGAACTTATTAGCTGCGGCGTGGAGTGCTGTTCAGTAATTTATCGCCTCTTGGAGTAATAAATGGGGAAACTGAGCTCTGTTTCTCTTATTGATTCACAGTGAGTGTTGACTTGCAGGTCTAGAAGAGTGTTCTTGTTCTCAGCACTTATTTGCCAGCCGTTTCTTGCTTCTGAGAGTGTTGACCAAATCTGTTCTGCATGCACAATTATATTTATACAGCATAAGCTTTTAAAACAAAGCGCAAACTAGCTTGAATACAAAGAATGGAAGTGCAAACATCCATATTAGTGTATAAAAGATGAGCAACGCCATTTTTCATGGTGTCAACAGCATTAGCTTTTGCACAGTCATTGTGTTGTTGTGTGGGGGAGAGAGTTTGGTGTTGTTTTTGGATAGAGGAGGGAATGTTAGGTGGAATATGGTCTGAAGGCCAGGCTCTTGAGGGTGGGCACATGTCTTGTCCTTTCTATAATTGACTCTGGAGCTACGTGTTTAGGTTTACAGCCATTGATTCACGCAGGGCTGCAGGCTGTTTCACAGTGCGGTTATTGCTTGGATTGCACCTCTGTGTAAGTGCTCACTTAAGGTGAGGGGAAGTGACATCATTAGTGATAAACAGTGTATTGTTAGCAATCAGGCACCTGCGATATTGCTGATTTTGGTGGAAGAAGGAAGAAAGGGATTGGACAGGTAAAACAAAGGGGCATATCAATCAAACTTTTATTGATACAAACTTTTAAATAATATGGCAAATTTTGTGCAAATGTTATCTCGTGCCTCGATCCCATTTGGGGGCAGTAGAGATTTGCAGATAAATTGGTGTAATGAAATGGCATAGATTTCCAATACCACAGACTTAAGAACAAGATACTTCAGTTCAGACCTTTCGCTTTATCAATATTGTGATATTTCTATGCTCTGCTTGACAAAAACACACGGTCTGTAATCCAATACATTTCTCTTGTAGATGAATAAATTGCAAGTGCGCTCATATTTATAATGTCTGGGCTGTATTTACTTTTATTTTTTTAATCTTATTATTATTCTTATTATTATTTTAATAAAGGTGTCCTTAAAATTATCCAAATTGACCTGCAACTAGTGTCAAAAATATACTTCTTCATTTAGGACCAATATTTGCCACTGGATTTCAGTTTTTTTTTTTTTTTTTTTTACCTTTATGAGGGCAGTTTTTATGCCCCCCTCCCCCCTATAATTATCTGGTCAATATTTAGTGTCATGGTAGGTTTTTATGTTATCACTGTTTTAAGTTTCAGCACTTTTGAGACTGTTGGGATTTGTTCTCTACTCATTCAGTATTTGCATATCTAGTTTTAGTTTCTGACCCCATCTGTGACCCATCAGTTGAGACTCACCTTTGAACACTGTATTAAAATTCCACACAGAATAGATGAAAAGTCAAAGGTAGGATTAACAGAAATTCCCTGTGGTTTTAGAATGTGATCTCAAGAACTTGGTTTAATTAATTTATGATAACAATTTAGCTAAGGAACACTGCTTAACCTCTTGATTTTTTACTTTTTGTCCTCCAGGATGGCCTCCTGGGTGAAGGTCAGTGGATCAGGTGGATGTTTGGCACAACCCGACAAATGAAGCAGGAGATTTTGAGCAGGTTAGCAACCATTAACACATTTAAATTTGATCTGAGATGTCTGAAGTCAGCATGTTCTGTGTTTTTTTTTTAAATAATTTTGCATTCTTGCTACATTTGCCATATAAATGTTAACTGTACTGTGTAACTTAAGAGTACAACCAAAGTGGAAATGTAAGGACTTTGTGGATTTGTACAGCATACTAAAGGTTTTAATGATGATCTAAAAAGGCAAAAAGGTTAGGTTTAGGGGTAGGGGTTGGAAAATATCATTAGTTAAGTATAAAAATGACAAACGTGCGTGTTTGTCTGTGTGTGTATAAAGTGCTTCTTCACACTCCAGTTGACACTGCCTTGTGTGGCTGTGTTGATATGTGGATTCAGCAGGTGTGTGAATCACAACCCCATATTAAATCTAAATTTACCTTTCATTTCCAAGATGATGAATGGAAGATTGAGTGTTTATTTATTTATGCAGCTTTATATGGCGATTCAGGCTGCATCACATACAGCTTGTTAATGCATTTGTATTCATAGGAACATAACTTTCACCTTAGAACGTGTATATATCACTTCCAAACCAAGTTTTTTCATCTGCTCACAGTATCACAAATCAGTAAATCTGCCTATATGGGCCAATATTTCAAAAGGCTTTTATTAAAACAACCCAGCTGTGCCGTTATAGTAATATATTAAGATCCAGGCCACATCGATCCTGTCTTCGTATTCCAGCTTGTTCTACAGAATCCAACTTGGCAAATCATAAAATTTTTAGTGTCTACTTATATTCAGCTGAATAATTTATCAGGCGGTGGGGCGAGTGATTCAGAAAACACTTGATTGTCTGCATGCTGGGGGTCTGGGGAGGTATTGAACCAGGAAAGATGATTTTGAGAATGTATTGGATGGAACGGTGGCGGTGACGATGTTAATGACTGGAGAACTGGAATTTAAATTCTTTGAAGCTGGATATGTATATGTATACACACACTATACATTTCTATATCAAAAATATTAAAACTCTAATATTGGGAAATCTTATTACACTTTAAAATAACCAGCAGTCATTACTCCAGTCTATACGTTTCTTATTATTATCAATGCTGAAAACAGTTGTGGTGCTTATGTTAGTGGAAACGGTGATAATTTCTTTTAGGATCCTTTGATGAATAAAGGTTCAAAAGAACAGCATTTAGTTGAAGTAGAAATCTTTAGCATCAATGTAAAAGTCTTTAACTGTCACTTTAACTGTCAAAAAAAAAAAAAGAATGTATTTATGGTAAAGAAATATCTTAATGCGTGCTTTTTCCTTGTTACTATCACCAACCTTGACATGCTTTGAACCAGTGAACTGGCCAATTATTAATTTGAAAACCCCAAACCCCCAAATCAACCAAAATGTAGTTTGAATGCTATGTTAAAGTTGGGTCGGCTGAATCGTGTATGCTTTTGAACTTCAAGTGCTACATTTTATGCTTATTAGTTCCTACTATTATTTTAAATTTCCATTTTTAACTTTAACAAAACAAGAACATTCAGTTCAGCTCATCAGAACCTCCCTAAATCCCTATAGGTCCAATTAGCTTGGCTGTCCAGAGTGAAAAAGCATCGTTTCAGTGACAACATGCCATCACAAAATCATTTTGAATAAATCGCTTTGAATATTCAGAGGTTTAATGCAGAAGTTGAAAGAGGTGTGACGCCATCAGTGGTAATCAGCAGCATCCATTATGGCTGTAGTGAGAATGAGAGAGAAATTTAGCCTCACCTCCTCCTTTCTGCCATCTTCTCCCTCCATCCTGCCTGCTCATTTGATTGTTTTTACATTCCCGCATTATGTAAACATGTGCATTGTGATTCTTTGGGGAGCATCTGAGCATTAGCAAGGACAATCTGGGCCTTTGCTAGAAATGCTAGATAACATATGTCCACTTGTCACACAAACAAATGGACATTAATACACTCACGACCAGGCCCCATGTGAAATCGCACACCATTTGCGGGCACCCCCAGGTGTCATTTACAAATGCCGAACTTACGGCTGTGAATAGACATTATTAATGGAGCCCAAAGTGGAGATACAAGGAGCTGCTTAGCCCTGAACCCTTAGCGAATATGAATAACAATAGGTGAGGGATCATTACATTGGCCTGGAGGGAACATTTAATCAGGTTTTGCTTAATGAAGGCAGTTGCTGCAAATCGGGCGCATGCTTAATGTTCTGCTGATGCGTGCTCAGCATTGCATTAGCATCACTGCCATGTTAGCAAAGGTGTAACTGAGTCAATGAAATCTGAAGTCCAAAAGAACACACTTTAACAGTGTTTTCAGGGATATCAGTCAAGATACCACAAATTCTTTTTTTTTTTTTATATCTAATAGTTTTTAGTTTGTCAAAACCACCCCGGACAAGTACTGTGGACGAAAGCCATGAAGTCACTTTCGAAATGAATTAATTCTAGCCACTTCCTTTGCAGCAAATTGATGGCCTGGAAAAAGAAAATATATTATGAGCATTAGTGCTACCGAAGGCACACTGAACCATGATTTGCTACTTACTATTGCTTGTTAGAGGCAGGTGGTTATTATGGTTTAGGGGAAGGGACATTATTGTTCTAGAGTCGTGGTTTTCAACCCGGGGCCCTGGGCCCACTAAGTGGCCTCAGCAAACTTCCAAGTGGGCCTCAAGGTGACTAAAAAGTATTTAATAAATGTGTTATCAGTGTTATTTTAGTAACATTGAGATCTATTATAGTTTTTATTAATATTTTTTATTTGTTTTATTTTTATATTTTCTATCTTTATTTTAATTTTAAAGTTTTAGTCATTTTATTGCATGTTTTTGTTATTTTTATTCATTTTTGTAAAATATAAAATGTCTACTTTTTATTAATTTTTATACATCAAGTTATTTCAATACATCGTTATACTAAATGAAAATAAGAAATGTTGCCTTGGCACCTAGTTGAAATAAAATGAGTTTTGTATATTTCAGTTAAAGGTTATTTATTTCAAGTAATGCCGAGTTCACACTGCACGATTTTCAAAGATGTTGCATCACTGTTGGTTTCTCACTGAACGACTATCTGGGGTAGCATTCAGTTGTTGCTGTGTTCACACTGCACGATGGAACGACGACAATAGGTTACACACTGCATGACTTTACAATAGGGAGAATCACCGATAACTCTGTCTGGTGCAGGGTTGCCTGGTTTTCACTACAAAACCCGCCCAATTACTACTCAAAACTAGCCTGAAAATAGCCCAATTGGTTTCGAGGGGGTCCCCCAGTAAAAATCGTGTTCGGGGGGTAAAATACACATTTTTTGGCGGGGTTCTCCTGGTACAATTCACATTCCAGGGCCTAAATATTACGTTATTGGGGTCGCTTCAACCTGCTGACATAAAAAACAACCGGCGGCAATCGCGGATTTGGCAACACTGGTCCTACGTTTCATATAACTCCTCCCTGAACTTCCCGCTGCCCTGTATCTTGGTCTCTCATTGGCTGTAGGTCATCGCCGATGTGCTTTTCAGTGAGAATTAATTTCACACAGCGTGATTGTGAATCGCCGATAGCTCCAGATATTTAGCATGCCAAATATTTCACGGGCGTCGGCGACGTGTCGGCCATTCCCTCAGATCGCGGTAATTCACACTGCGTGATTGTCACTCGCGTGAACGAGCACCGATTTGCCTCTGATTTCGGGCATTTGTCAACGATTTCGCAAAACCTGTCGGCGAGTGAAAAATCGGGTTAAAATCGGGCAGTGTGAACTCGGCATAACAGAAGTGTTTAGTTAATAACCTTGAAAATCAAGAGTGATTTTTTTTAAACAATCTAACTTTAATCTAAATTAAAATGTTAAAAAAGATCAAAATATAAATTATTAATATATTGGTTATAAAAATTTAATTTATTGAAATTATTGAAATTTAATTATGATTTTATAAGATAAAAGTAAAGAATGTTGAGTTCTTGAAACTTTTAAAATCACACAGTGAACAATGGTTAATTAAATATATCAATACTCCCAGTTTCTGTTAATAAAAAAAAACATTCATAATTATGGCAGAAATACCAAATGTAGCATATATCGGGGAGTCTTCGATTATTGTGTTGGACAGATGGGGGCCCTTTGTGTCAAAAAAGATTGAGAAAGTTTTATTGGATAAAACGGTGTACTGTGTGTAATATTTTTGATCTGTTGTTTTGGAAAAATGTGTATATCTGCTAAAAATTAATGTCAACTTTTAAAAGTACAGTAGCATAAATGGCCTCAAAGCATCAACTAAAACTCCCATTCATTAAAAAAAATACGCTACATTAATCAAAAAAATAAAAAAATGTTTCAGGACACTGTTGTTCACGTCGTAAGCAAGGGGAAAACTCTGATGTTGTTTCAGCAGGACACTTTCAAGATGATGGTTGACACAAAATCCAGAAGACATCAAAAGTAAGTTAAAGTTAAAGTTTTTTTCCAAGTTCAGAAAATGCTGTTTTGCAAGGAAGATGCTAGACATGAATATATAAATGATGCAGATCAACACGAATCTTTTTTTAATTCTCTGGAGTCAATGCGGCAGACAAGTAAAAGCTGATGCATTTACCCAGCTGTTCGGGGGGGGCAAACCCTGTTTAATCTAAATTAAAACTCACTAATCTTGTTATTATGCTGACCTCTTTGCGAGACACACTTCCACAAGGCCCCTTCATCCCTGTCACCCAAACATTTTCATCCAACCGAGACAAAAGGATATAGTAGGGAATTAAATGACAGTCTGGCAGTCTGAAGTGGGAACATTGATTTCAACAGGCTTGTTTTGATCACGAAGGCTTTTGAGTGACTAGGGGTTTCACTTTTTGTCCCTTTTGATTGTTCGTACCATATTGCATGATAACACATCTTGGGTTCCCTTTCAGTCGGTCACTCTCGACGTCACGTCGGATGACCGACGAATTGGGATCTCACTCGTCGCCGAGGGCGGCACCTGGCCGCCGCCCCCGCTCCCGCGCTGCG